CAAGGCCCGAGCAGGTGGCGCCAGGCCAGCCAAGATGGGTGCAAGTGGGGACTCCGCGATCACCCCACCGGTTACCCCGCAGAGGGAGGTGACTGGCAGTGGCGGCAGGGGGCAGGGCCGGTGAGCGGGTGGTGCCATGCCAAGGCAGGTGCAAGCGGGGACCCGATCACCCCGCCAGTCGCCCCACAGGTCAGCCCTGATCGTCGGCCAGGCCTAGGGACCCTACCCGTGCACGAATTTCATGCACTGGGCCTCTAGTACATAGATAAGGATGCTATCAAAGCATCCTCCACACAGGCTGTTTCCACAAATCTAGGGCATGTGAGACAGAGCACTGAGGCCCTTGCTAGGGACCACAGAGGGGAGTGAACCCTCTCCTGACACTGGCACTGAGAACCAAGGTCAGTGGGGGCAGAAAACCTTAGCTGGTTCCCTCAGGAAACAGTCACACTCCAATCTGTATAGTCAACCATTTCATGAGGGAGCTCTCTTCTACCGGCTGACACGTGGGCACTGAGCAGACACCCAGACAGGCCACAGATTGTTCTAAATGTAGCATATGCACTGCTGACGTGCCTGGTGGAGTGGCCTGCAATCCCAGAAAGAATGAGGTCGGTGACTGGAGGGGCCACTGTCTGGATGCAGCGAGATCCGACTTCCCTGAGGGCATGTTAGGAAGAACCTTCCAGATGAGTGGCACAGAAAGTCCTGTGCTTTCTCAATCTTATCATTTCTACTTTGCACGTACACACTCACTCGGAGCTGGGGAGGTTTCATCAGGCTTCCTGAAGATGACCTGCACCGCATGTGAACCCCGAGATGGTGATCACTATGCCAAATGCAATGAAGACGCAATCAACAGCTAGTTTTAACACCTCAACAGCAGTGAACCGGCTTCCCAGCAATCCCAACCGACACATCCATGCACTTCATTACATGTTGATTTCATTCTTTTCCACTTTCTATTTTGAAAATGTCCAACACTATAGAAAAGTTAGATGAACATTTACACTCTTCATCTGCATTTACCAATATTTAACATTTGCCATATCTTTGTAGAAATACATGCTTTTGTCGTGAACCATTTGCAAGTGAGCTATAACAGCGAATGGTAAATCCCAAGAAAGACAGTCCTACATAACGATGACATCATTATCACAACAAAGAAACTCAACATTCACTTAAAGATAGCCCCAAATCATCAATATTTTGCTATTTCTTGATGCTCTACCATGTGCCAAGTACCACAAGGGCACTGAGAAAAACAAGGATGAATAAGGCTCAGGTTCACAGTCCAACAGAGGAGACTGACAGGCACCCTACTGTGCGACTGCGCCCAGGTGCTGATTCATACCTGAGGCTCCGTCTTGGTAGAAGAGACCGGAGTTGGCCCTACCAAGAGCCTTCTGGAAAGGCTTTTGCGATGAGGTGATGTTTAGAGAGGACGACTTTACCCATCATAAGGGCGGGGAGGGGGCCTAAATGTAAAACTGTGGAGGCTTGAGTGTGGCAGCCAGAATAATGGCCCCAAAGGCCAAATCCTAATTTCAGGAACCTGTGACTATGTTAGACTCCATAACAAGGGGAATTAAAATTACGGAAAAAAGGAAAAAAAAAAAAAAAACCAAAGCATCAGCTGAACTGAAGATGGGAAGATTTTCCTGGGTGGCCTCATGTAATCACCAGGGTCCTTAAAAGGTGGAAAAGGAAGTGGGAGAGTCCAGTGTCACAGGGATGCCATGTCGGATAGACTCCATCCGCCACTGTCAGGGGGCATGAGCCAAGGAAGGCAGGCAGCTCCTACAAGCTGGCAGAGACCAGGGACAGATTCTCTCAAGAGCCTTAAAGAAGCGGATCCCTGCCAACGCCTTGATCTGAGCCCAGTGAGACCTATTTCAAACTTCTGACCTCCAGAACTGTAAGGTAATAAATATGCGATGTTTTAAGCTACACCAAAAAAAAAAAAAAAAATGTGGAAACAAGCTTGGAAACTGTCCAAGTGCTGGGGCCGGGATGAAGTCGTCAAAGTCCATATGATGAAGTCAAGAAAACTGCGCTTTATTCTTGGGGGAAGGGAGGGGCAGCCAAGAGCCACGACTGGATCTGTACTTTAAGAAGAAAATTCTGGAGTGAAAGTAGAATCTGGGGGGCAAACAATTGGTAATCTTTGTTGTCAATGATAAAATTGGAGCTTTCAAGCAAACACACACAAAAATCAGAACTTTGGAAAATTTGCATCCATCACCAAAACCGCAACAGCTTCCCAAATTTTCAGAAAAATATTATGTGATGAAATGTGTCAACCTGTCAGATCTGCATAGCTCAACTGTGCAGTAATGCAGTAAAACAGACCATACCCAGGTGACAGGTAACTCATATGGCAGAACAGGCCCGTGTAGCTTACAGCACAAAAGCTCACTGATACGGTTTCAGATTCCACAGTGGAACCCACCACTGCCTGTGAGTTTTCATGTAGTATCAAGAGAGAATAACCACAATTATCTGGAAAGGCTACTAAAGTACTCCTCCTTCCCAAGAATTCTCTGAGGCCATCTTTACATACTTCATCTAAAACAATACATCAACACTGACGGATGCACAGCAGACATCAGAACCCGGTTGCCTTCTATTAAGCTAAACAGTAAAGAAACGTGTAAATATGTAAGACAAACACTCCTATTAAATTCTATTGTTTTAGATAATAGTTATTTTCATTACAATGTTATTCATGTTAAGATAAGAGGTTTTATTGATGTCATTTTTGAGTGGATTAATACATGAATATTAGTGATGTGATAAATACTGATACATATAACTCATCTAAGCCAAAGCTCTGGGGAGCCCTCAATAGTCTACAAGAGTGAGGAGGCTTTGAGACCAAACAGTTTGAGAACCGCTGCTTGCTGGGCTGCCCAGTGATGTGAGCACAGCCAAGCCTTGCACCCACTCAAGTCAGGAAAGCAGCGGGACTTCCTTCAGGCTCGCTGAAGCAGCCTGGGGGTGACCCCTGCTCTATTCACAGTCCTGTCCTGGAAGCACCTCACCCTCATTTGACAAGTGTCAAAGAAAGAGAGGCTGTGCGTTAATGTGGGTGAACTCATCAGGATCAATGGGACCAAACGCCTGGCAAATGAATTCATTAGCACTGCCTTTCTTCAATCCAAGAATGTTCAACCAATTAATTCCATTTTTTTCAGATTTGAAGATTCACTTGCTAAAGTCAGTAATGAGAATGCTACACACACCTCATGCCTAAAGCATTCAATGTCATTTATTTCATAAATACAGCAAGCAGCATTCCAATATCACACCTGTGCCGGGTTTCAAGGAGCACACAGAAACCGTCAAGGTGTGACCCTGACACTATGTGACACCGTCACACAGGCGGGAGATATGTACCTAAAATAACGGGAAAACATCCACAAATGGTCTTCCACTAAACAATGTATAAGCCAAAGGCATCAGATCTTTCCATTCAGGCAAAAGCAAATTTTTTTTGTTTTATTAAACATAATGCCCAACATTTTGCTAACTTAAATATGTGCTTTGCCCGTGAGGTTTATCCTGTTCTTCATGCCGCATGCCTGAGTGCCTGCCACACACAGTTCCAGAAACCAGGTATGCAGCAGTGAAACTAACGAGACCAAAATACCTGTTTTCATGGTGTTTACACTCTATTACTGGGAACACCGTTTCAAAAAATAAGAATGGGTGAATTATTAAGTGGAGGTAGCACACTTCTGGTCCCCTAATGCAATTCCATTAAATAGTTAGAAATAAGATGAGGCCCAATGACATAACCAATGCTCTATCCCACGAGAAGGCCAGACATCAGCATTACTGTCAGGAATGAAGCTACAATAGGAAGCACAGTTCAAGGCAGTCAGGGGATTTCTAAGTTCACTGACTCCAAACAAGAACTGTGGCAGAACAGAGCTCCTTTGGGATGGCCAAGGTCCCACAGCCAAAGGGAGAAATAAGCAAGGTGTCAGAGTTCTGAAAGGAGGGATTTATAGTTTGTAAAAGCAAACCATAATTACATTTTTTCTCTGG